CACCACTTCCACCTGCTACCAGTTGGATAGCCAGTCTACCAAGTTTCTCAGCAAGGTCAACATAAGGTTTCAGCTCATTAAGGACCTGAGCAAACAAGTAAAGATGGAAATCAAACCCATGCAATATTCAAAGCTTTAGGACACAAGCACTTAGCAGTATTGCAAACAGCATGCACACTCTTGAAACATACACAGGAACATCACTTGAGACCATGGAGATATCTAAAGGTAAAGGCCAATACAGGACCAACGGAAGAAAGGGTCTTCAGCTAATGAAAATATTTTGTTTCTGCAGAAAACAAATCCTTGGGTTCTTCTCAGACACCAAATGCAATCATTTAAATAAATGACAAGCCACGAACTAATTTGACCAATGTAAGTATCAACCGTTTCTGTACTGGGCCTACTGGCTGCTAAATAAATGAAACACAAGAAGTTTTCGGTAATTCAATGAATCAATGATCATTGGAAGTACTCAAGGACTCAAAGTTAAACAAACAGCAGAACACTAAATTCTAGAACCAAATCAATCAATCAAAGCCTTAATCCCATAAGTGAAGTCGGCTACATGAAACAAATGTGGTACCAAAATTATACGCAAGGTCTCATAGGCTGCTTAAGATGGTCAGGTAGTGAAGTTAATAGTGTACTTCAAGGTCAACCTCTAACAACAACCAAGCATCACAGAGTATCTTCAAAGAATGAAAAGTAATGTACCATTTGCAAAAAAAAAATATTTTTTGCAGAAATTTATAAATTTTCAATTTATCTACAAACAAAGTGGCACGAGATCTATTTTGATCATGAGTTCATGACAGAATATTTCAAGCACACCAGACCCACAGCCAGGTCAGCCACCTAATCAATAAGCTTACAAACTTAAAGTGCACCGAAATTGATAGGCATTAGGCAAACACAATCCAACATTGTTACTGAAAACATGTAGTGTAGTAGTGATACGGCACTCGCTCCTACAAGGTAATAGATTGATTAAAGGGATGGCAGTAACTTTGTGAGCAAATTACACAAATGTCATATGTAACATGAATACATGATACTGTATCTTCCCTACAAGCATGTATATTTTCTTCATTGATTTTGGTTATTTCTCTACCCACACTTCTAAAAGTACCAAGTATTATTAGAAACAAGTTTAAGAAGCATGTATGTGATGGTAAAGATGGCTAACTGTAACAACTACTGTGCAACGATCGCTTTGTGTATTTATATTCAAAACCAACCATAGAACCATGCAAAGAGCAACTATCAACAAATAGTAGCATATTCCTAATACAAAAAATGAAATAATGCAGCTGTAATAACTATGAACTAGTCTAGAACTCTAGATAATCAATCACAAAATAGTTAAGGCTGAATAGCTTCTGAAGAATTAAGGCAATAGGTGTACCTCAGCAGGAACCATTGGCGCATTCACGGCAGTTGCAGCAAGCTCTCCATTCAAAGCCCCTATAACTGCTTCTGCGATTTCAATGGCTACTCCTTCCTGCAGAACAAACATTACTTTGTAATGACACAATAAATTATACTATCATCAATTCTCAGTGTGTATCACTTAACCTACCTGAGCTTCCATGGTACTAGCACCAAGATGTGGAGTTGCAGTAACTCTTTCGTGCTGTATCAACTTACTGTCCTTTGCTGGGGGCTCTTGTGTGAAGACATCAAGTGCAGCCTGCAAAAGAATTTCCATGTTATATACTTCTTATCTTCCAAAAAAAACAAAGAAAAAAAGCACTCTTTTAACCAATATCTAATAGTTACCTGAGCAACAATCCCAGAATCCAGAGCCCTAACAAGAGCATCTTCATCAATCACTCCACCACGAGCGACATTCACAATCATAACACCTTTCTTCATCTTAGCAAAAGTGTCATCATTTAGCACCTTTGTTGTAGAAGAGGTGAGAGGCATGTGTAGGGAAATGAAATCTGCTGTTGCTAAGGCCTCATCAAAGGAAACAAGGTCCACTCCAATAGCTCGGGCACGGTCAGCTGGTGCATAGGGATCATGAGCAATCACATGCATGCCAAGCCCCTTGGCACGCCTCGCAACCTCAGACCCGACCTTTCCGAAACCCAAAACAGCAAGCTTCTTTCCCACAAGTGATACACCCACATACTTATTCCTCTTCCACTCCCCTGCATTGTCATAGATAAAACAATATACACATCATTGAAAAGAATTTGACAATCCATAATAATCATATATAATTAGGCAACAAATTAACACCAAAACATAGGATACTAATATCTATTCATGACCATTTGTATAGCTATAATTCAATAAGAATAGCTTAAACCCTGCATTAATCTTAACAACTACCATCTCTAAATGAATCAATCAGTACCAAATTCAACCTACCTTGAAATACCATTTACAATAAACACCTAAAACCAGATCAATCAATCCGACATGCAAGGAACCAGATTCAATCAAAACAATCAAAACCCAGAATTCCCATTAAACAGATCTAAGAACCCATTAAACGTAACCCCCAAAACACCAAAAATTAAATATTAAACAAAAGATTATAATAATGCCCACAATCTGTTCGACAAAATGCCTCAAAAAGAAAATGCACAGAAAAACTAACCAGCCTTAACAGAAGCATCAGCTTGAGCAACATTCCTAGACATAGCAGTCAAAAGAGCAATCCCATGTTCAGCCGCCGCAATGGTGTTAGCCGTCGGTGCATTAACAACCAAACACCCATGCTCAGTCGCAGCACCCAGATCTACATTATCAATCCCAACACCCGCTCTTCCAACCACCTTCAACCTCCCAGCAGACGACTCAAACACCTCCCTCGTAACCTTAGTCCCACTCCGAACAATCAAAGCGTCACAAAGAGAGATCTTAGTGCAAAGCTCTTCTGGGCTAAGATTATACGAACAATCAACATTCGCAAACGATTTCAGAAGATCCAACCCAGCGTCACCGAGCTTTTCGGCGACCAAAACGGTGGGTTTCGATTCAAGGGAGGCGGAAACGACGAGTTTTTGGCGGGGGGTAGTGGGGGTAAGGTGGCGATAAGGGTTGTGCGAGAAGAGGGAGATCGAGGGAGAAAGGGAGAGTTTAGAGGAGAGAGAAAGTTGGGAATTGGGAGAAATGGAGGTGGGGTGGAGGAATCTGTGTTTAGGGGTAAGAGATCGTTTGGAGAGTAAAGCTGTTGAAGCAGATGAAGAAGCGGCCGCCATTGTTGAGGAAGAAATGGGAGAGATGAAGCTTTTTTTCTGGGGTTTAAAGGAAGGTGCGCCGCCGTAGGAGGGAGGATTTATGGGGTGAGGAAGATGGTGGGGTTTTAAAGGGGGTTTTGGGGAGGAGAGAGAAAGAGAGGTGAAGAGGGAGGAGAGAGAAAGAGGGAGATGTGAGTTCACGTGCTGTGAAACTGCGCGGGAAAATGGGGAGTGTGGTGGTTGAGAAGGTGGAGCGTGAAATTGACGGTAAGGGTTTGAGAGTGGAATTATGGTTGATTCCTTGTATTTGGGGTTGGTGACTGGTAAGTGTTGTAATTTAGGGTTGGTAAAACAAATTGGCAATTGTAATCGTCTAATCGAGTCTTTTCAATCTTAAATCTTAAGGTTGGGTTTGAGTGCATGGGTCTTAATACAGGGTTTGTCAAGCCAAATTGGCCTTTAGGGTTTAATTGTGTTTTTAGATTTCACACTTTTTTAGGTTTCAGGTCATAGTTGATCATCTCTACTTTTAAATTAAATAGTTTATTTTCATTAGGGCATTTTAAAGGTACAAATTTTCCTCATCCTTCCTCTTCATATTTAAAGTGCCTGACACAAATAATAGATCAGTTGATCTCAGGTTTAGATTAATTGTTATTTTAATCAAGAAAGTGATGGATGATTTACAAAAATATAGCTTTTAAGAAACTTATTTACGGTTTTGCATTTGAATGAAACTTATTTACGAAAATACAGTCCACGTAGAATTGAAAATACATTTGGGGTAATTTTTTTCTTTAGAGACAAACCATTACCATAAGTAGCGGTTATAGTCTAAAACCGCTACTTGAGGTAGCGGTTTGTCTATAGTGCTCTAAGTAAAGATACAGTTAATCAATTTATAAAGGGAGGTAGCGGTTTTAGTACATAAACCGCTACTTGAGGTAGCAGTTTTACTCTGAAAAAAAAAAAAAAAACCTTATCCGAGCCTACATGGACATTAATTCCGTAATTAAGTTTCATTCCGACGTAAAAGTGTAAATAAGTTTTAAAATAACCATAATTTCGTAAATCATCTGAAAGTGATTTTATCGCCTTTTAATTTGATTTTGTCATTTGTGTATGATCCAAAGTCTAATTGAACAAAGTTTGTTGTAAAAGTTACACGTAAAAACGTAGCTACAGAGACAAGTGACCGTGTGAGGCGTGAATCCTTTTCAACTATAGACTTGATCACTTAAATCATAAGTAATAGATTTAGTGCTAAAGTGCACTAAGAACTATTAAAAGCAACAAAGGGCAGCTTAATGAGTTAAATTAGTCCGCTTAATCACTTGTCATTCAGTGATTTGCGGCTAAAGCAAATTTCACCTAACAAAAGCATTAAATGGTGGGACTCATTTTGGTATAGCCTTCAAATTTGATTCTTTTTTCTTTTACATTGGATCGTACTCAACATTTTATATTTGTATCAGCCTTGTATCAGCCTCATTCTCTGTGCTGTGCTTTTCAGCCTTCAAAGTTTGGGGTATTGTGTATTATAATTGTGGTGTATTGTAAATTTTGACTAGCAACTTGCAAATTTGGGATCCTGAGTCCTGATTCCATCCCCTTTTAACGCATCGGCCCGCATGCTTTATTGCTCTGCACGTTTACAACCAACCATTATTTGGGTCTTTTTTAAGCATCTTGTATTAAACTAATACGATGCACTTTACGTGAAACGCATACGTGATACGGAGTATTTTTGAATATTAAATGAAAACACGAATAAACTAGGAGATCATTCTGACGAAAAGAAAGGAAAAAAAACCGCATTTGGTTGAGAAGAAGACTTTGGTGATACACTGATACATTCTTCGTAATAGTCATCCTTGTGCAAGAGTCAAAACACCTTGAACTTTTCTCTTTATGCTCTGTATCTACTTGTATTAATTTCACCCGATACAAACACTTGTAAAGTAGAATAAAAGGGATATAAAGAGGAATAAATACATACTCAGCACAAGTAGAAATTGGTTCATGTAAAATAAGAATACACACGAGACTAACAAGTTGTGTAAAAAAAACCACGATTTTACAGGTTTGTTTCATTCCTTTTTGAAAAGAAGGTACAAGATGCAAATACACGAGTTAACCAAACAAAGAAGGATTAAAAATGGCTAAGGTAGGCATCAGCCAACATTTGTCCTAAATGAACTTGGGATTCAGTAGTTAAATGCATATTATCATCTTTTAGCTTCAACCCCTTGGCATCTACACATATCACATTGGGGAGATTGATCTCAAGCTGTGCTTCTCTTACCTTTTCTGTGTATTGTTCGTCCACCCCGGATGCAAGTGCCACCTACAGAAATTAACCATTCTCTTATCATATATTCCAAGCTATAACTTTCTTGTGAATAAGTTAATAGAGTAGCTATTTGACGAGACTATCTTGCATTGACCTAAACCCGTGTATAAAAAATTACTTGCGAAATTAGAAACTAAAAACACTCTAGCCCAGTAAAGTTGAAAATTGTGAGATTATCTCATACAAGACTTTACCTAAAAATGACAAATTGCCACGCCTATATATTTACCAATTATAAATATTATCCAAAATATTAAGTCAAGATAGAAACATTATGGTGATTGCTCTTATAACAAAACCATGAACACACATACAAATCTGGTCTTAAATTAGAAGTAGATTACCTGAATAATTGGAAGCAACGGCAACTGAAGATCCTCCCTGACATTACAAATAAACTCCTCCATCCTATCTTTATATTCATCTGCATCATGCTCTGTCAACGTATCACTCTCTCCTTGGTACCACACCAATGCCTTAATCTCACTCTCATCCCCACCTCTCCTCACTGCAGCTTTAGACCTCTTCACCATACTCTTGTACAAGGGTGTTCCGCGTGCCCACTCACTGATCGGAGATGCACCCACAGCACAGGGCACGAGTCCAACAGTGCCAGCCTCGTGCTCTATAAGCTTATGAGCAAAGGGCATGCCAGGCCCAACCCCGCAAACCTTCTGCGTATCAATATCAACATGTAGAGGCTCATGTGCCTCCTCCCAAAGGAGTTGAGCGCTGAAGCGGAGGATCGAAGGGTTAGGCTGACATTCGGGTGGAACAACACTATCCCATTTCTGGTCAGTCTCGGAGTACTTAATGACTCCTCCACGGCCTGACATGTTGCTCTGCCCTGAGAGGATGAAGATCTCTTTGGAGTCCTCACATGACATGATTGCCTAGCTATGGAAGATGAAGTATTCTATTGAAAATGCATCACTCTTCTAATCTAGGTTCTTTTATGCAATTCATTCCATTTCTTTAACATTTTACAGTTGTCTCCCCGTCATTTCCGGAGATGTATGGTATAAACATTGACTTACAATTTGCAACTTGCAAATTTAAAATTCTGAACTCTAAACCCTTGCAGATAGAATCCAAGCCTCTATACATTAAGTCAATAACAAGCATCTTCATGGTACCCCAAGGTCTCCAACAACTACTTGACTAGCATTACATTACTTATGTTAGCTATATAAAGCATGCATTCATCACTTAGAATCTTAGATAGCAATATTCAGATATTCGAAAAGTAAGTCTTGTAACAAACTGATGCATAGTATGCAATCGATAAGATTAGGTACTGATGAATAAATTTATAAGATTTGAGGAAACTTCAATCATTGTATGCAAATATATCCATTGTATAAAAACAGTCATGATAGTAACAACGATTATAGAGAAAAAAAAAATAAAGACGATTTCCACACATACACAGCAATGAGAGCAATAGAGACAGATCAAAAACATTTTGATTTATTGAATACCAAGAAATATAAAACCGTATAAGAAGTGCAAGTTATCCAAATGACAACATATGCAAGCAGTAATGCAGCATGTAAATATCTCCATATGTAGAGGTAAAGCCTAAGAGGAGGAAGGATTAAAATGGCAGAGGTAGGCATCAGCCAACATCTGACCTAATTGAACCTGGGCTTCGGTAGATAAATGAAGATTGTCGTCGTTGAGTTTCAATCCTTTGGCATCCACACATACAACATTTGGGAGTTTGATCCCTAGTTGTGCTTCTCTCACCTTATCTATGTATTTTTCATACCCTGATGCAAGTGCCACCTGAACAAATTAAGCATTTTCAGTAATTCCTAAATTTTATAATATACCAAGTATATATATTCACACATCAATGTTTTCATAACTACAACAAGCATTGTTTGAATTCTTGGTTCGATCAAGCAAGGCACTTCTCATCAAATAGCTGGGCGGTATACAATAAAATTCATAATGACTTCATACACTATAGAAAATTAGAAATGACATAAAATGTAGACATACTAAACTACACCAACATTACCAATTTACCATGTTAGAGGTGTCAACTTAACGTTTGAATTAGAGTTTAAGTTCACAATGCATATCAATCTTTTAAAGATAGTTTAATTTGACTTTTTATGGTTTTCAAGACGTATGTAACATCTCTTTATCTCTAATTGTGCTTGAAACCATACACAAGACTTTTCCAAATTTGAACATTCCTAAAATAAATGATTACCAACAAATACAATACCAAAACAAACAACAATAAAGTAAAGAAGTACAAATGTAGAATAGTACCTGAATGATAGGAAGCAATGGCAACTGAAGATCTTCCCTAACATCACAAATAAACTTCTCCAATCGCCCTTTATACGCGTCAGCGTCACTCGCCGTGGCATCACTCTCACCTTGATACCACAACATTGCTTTAATCTCACCCCCACCACTCTCCACACTACATTTAGCTCTCTTCACCATATTCTCATACAAGTGTTCCCCACGCGCCCACTCTCTTATCGCAGTCCCGCCAACGGCACACGGGACAAGTCCAATTGGCCCACCCACGCGCTCCCTAACCACGTTGGCGAATGGCATTCCGGGTCCCACCCCACAAACCTTACGGCTATCGATGTCGGAATGTAGTGGATCACGCGCTTGCTCCCAATGGAGGTGCGCGTTGAGGCGGAGGATTGAAGGGTGGGGTTGACATTCCGGCGGAATAACGCCGTCCCATTTCTTGTGGTGGTGGTGATGGTAGTCGGTGTATTTAACGACGCCTCCTCGGCCGGCCATGTTGCTTTGGCCGGAGAGGAGGAAGATCTGTTTTGCGGTGGTGTCGCACGACATCATTATTTGATTGGGTTTTTGGGATCGAAAGATGTTGACCCTTGGTTCAGTTGGTCACTCTGTAGCTCTGTTGTTGTTTTGGGCTTTTGGGTTGGTAATCACAATTTATTTTTATTTTTTAATTATTTTTTTTATGTATAACAAATGAGGTGTCGGTTAATAATGGGTTGGATAAAGTCGGATTGTATGGAGTGTTGATTACTTGAGTCTATTTCAAATTAGACTTGTGGTAAATTATTGTATTTATACAAGTCATAATTTGAATTGAATTTTGTTCAAGCTGATTGTCAAACAGTTACATCGTGTCAATATTTGACAACTAACTATAACTTTTATTTAAAAACAATTGAAGATATGTATAGACAAGCGTAAAATCCCAATACTACAAAATTACAAATAAATAAAAAGAAACGGAGTATTGGATATGAGTCGGTATGACTAGAGTAAGTGTTACCCACTACCATGGTATGGGTAATACTCCCTCCGTCTCATTATTACATGTCTGTATTCCCTTTTGGGGTGATAAAAATTAAGTACCTATTTCTATTTATAGGTTGTACTTTTTGACAATATTATTCTCTTTTTGATGATTTGTCACCTTTTTTCTTGAACTTTCTTAATTCCCGTGTAAAATGAGAAATAGTCATGTAATAAAGGGACGGAGGGAGTACTACCCAATACCACATTTTTTTTTCTTTTTCCTTTTTTTTCCTTTTCCTCTTTATCTTCTTCCTTCCTTAAACCCTTTTCCCCACCTCTATGGATAGCTCCCATTGTCGGCCAAACCTCCGCCCACCTCACCTTCACCTCCGACAACAAGAAGCCCACCCCACCAGCTACTACCTTGGTCGAAATCCAAAAACACGCAACTACCTCCATTAAAAATAATCGAAAACCACTCATAAAAACGTAACCCAAAAACAAGAGACACAAACTTATGGTTCTAGCCATGAAAAACGGTGAGTTCTATGCTGGAAATCGCTGAGTTCGATCGAAATTGACACCGGTAGTTTTTTGTTTGTGCTCAGTTATTATTAATTTCTATACTGTTATTATTGGTTTGTATACTGTTATTCTTGATTTTTATACTGTTATTCATAATTTATATACTGTTATTGAGAGGAGAGAGGCTGCATTTTTACAACATGGGTAAGTTTTACATGAAATTACATTTTTGCCCATGGTATAGGCCCAACGAGCCCAAACCTGGCCGTGGTCTATCACTACTCGTATGAGTGTGGCTGGTTGTCATTGTATCAAGTACAGTGGGGCAAGGCTTTTATGATTCAATAAATGAATTAGATACCTAAAATGTTACTAGTGACCAGTGATAAAATGATACAAGAGATTTATGTAAGGCCAAGGTATTGAGATTTATGTAAGTTACTAAATTGTGACTAAAAATTGAAATCTCTAAACGTGAAGAGAAGATCTACATAAGAGCTGAGAATCTGAGATACCAAATATGGCAAGTGTCTCAGTGTTATCAGCTGCTGCTAGAAGGTAATACTCTGTATTCCATGCTTAACATTTGTATGGGTATAAGCTTTATTTAGGTAAATGAGTTACATTGTAGGAAGGTAATCCCTTGCCTTTCTCATATATTGGCAGTGTATATATATACAAAGAATCTAGGTAACTTCTATCTAGGGAAACAATACACAATCATTAATGTAGCAACCTAGGAACCATATATACATAGTACATAGTCTAATACACCCCCGTAGTCGCAACGGGAGGTAATCGGACGTTGAGGCTATTGCGAAAGTCTTCGAACAGGAGCTGTGGGAGTCCTTTTGTGAAGACATCAGCTACTTGATAGCGTGAGGGGATGTGTAGAACTCGGACTTGACCACGGGTGACTTTTTCCCGTACGAAATGGATGTCCATTTCAATATGCTTTGTCCGTTGGTGTTGCACGAGGTTGCCGGTGAGATAAACTACACTTACATTATCACAATATACGACCGTAGCTTTCTTGATGGGGCAACGAAGCTCAAGGAGAATGTTGCGAAGCCAACAAGATTCGGCCACCACATTTGCCACCCCACGGTATTCGGCTTCAACACTTGAACGGGAAAGAGTGGGCTGCCGTTTTGCCGACCAAGAAATGAGGTTGTCTCCAAGAAAAATGCAATATCCGGAGGTGGATCGTCTTGTGTCCGGGCAGCCACCCCAATCGGCGTCGGTGTATGAGAGCAATCACGCAAGTGATGAAGAGTATAGGTGCAAACCGAGCTTCAATGTGCCTTGTAAGTATCGTAAGATGCGACGAAGAGCATGCATATGCTCCTTGCGTGGGTCATGCATGAAAAGGCACACTTGTTGGACAACATACGAAATGTCGGGGCGGGTGAAAGTCAAATATTGTAGTGCACCTGCCAAGCTTCGGTAGAGGGTAGGGTCGTCAGTCGGGGGACCGGAAGAAGCACTTAATTTTTGCTTGGTGTCGACCGGAGTAGAAGAGGGCTTGCAAGATGACATGTTGCCCCGAGCAAGAATGTCCTTGGCATAAGATTGTTGTGACAAAAAGAGGTCGTGGCTATGGTGAGTGACTGAAATGCCGAGAAAGGAGCTGAGCTTGCCGAGATCTTTCATGGCAAATTCCGAGCTTAATTTTTCCATTATAGACTTGCGGAGAGAATCGGAGGAGGCCGTGAGAATTATGTCATCCACATAGAGGAGTATGTATGCAATTTGTTTACCATGGAAATATATAAAAAGAGAGTGGTCGGATTTGCTATGAATGAACCCAAGTGTTGACACAAATGTAGCAAACCGATGGTACCATGCTCGTGGTGCTTGTTTGAGACCATAGAGAGCCTTATTGAGAAGGCACACATGACCCGGGTTATCCTTGTCTCGAAAACCGGGTGGTTGATGCATGTATACAGTTTCTTCAATATCACCATTCAAGAAAGCATTTTTCACGTCCATTTGATGAATGGACCAAGACTTGGAGAGAGCGATGCTAAGGACGGTACGGATGGTTGTCGGTTTTACCACCGGGCTAAAAGTCTCATCATAATCAACTCCAACCTGTTGATTCCTGCCATTAACAACAAGTCGGGCTTTATGCCGCTCAAAAATACCGTTAGCATCTTTCTTGTGGCGGTAGAGCCACATACAAGGAATAATATTGACATCACGGGGACGGGGGACCAACTCCCACGTCTTATTTTAAATTAGAGCATTATATTCATCGAGCATGGCATTTTTCCAATTAGTATCACCTAATGCTTTGATTGGGTTGCACGGGAGAGGAGATGGAGTGGTGTGAGTATGCAGATTAAAGTGTCTTTTGGGCTTGAATATTCCATGAGAGCTCCTAGTAGCCATTTGAGGGGAGAGAGGTGGGATGGGCTGCTGTGTGGGCTGCGGCATGTGATTGGGCCCAGGGGAGGGGATGTTTGTAGTAGTGTGTTGAGGTGAGGGAGTGGGCTGGGCCTCTTGAAGGGGGGAGGGAGGATGCCGAGCAGGAGAGAGAGTGTGGGCTTGTGGGGTTTGCACGGTTTGGGCCGTGGCTGTGGGTTGGGCCGCATTTGGAGGGGGGAGGGAGCTCATTTGGTGAAGGATGGAGGGAGATAGCCCATGATCTAGGAATTCGTAAGTAGTAGCAGTAGGTGTGTGGATTTTTGAGAAAGGAAATTGAGACTCATCAAATAGCACATGACGAGAGACGAAAATTTTATTTGTGGACATGTCATAGAATTTGTAACCTCTATGATTGGGAGGGTATCCCAAAAAGACACAAGGAGTAGAGCGAGTTTGGAGTTTATTAATGGAGGTAGAGGGAAAGAGAGGGTAGCAAAGGCAACCGAAGATACGAAGATGAGAGTATGAGGGATCCTCTGATACCATGTAGGAAGGTAATCCCTTGCCTTTCTCATATATTGGCAGTGTATATATATACAAAGAATCTAGGTAATTGCTATCTAGGGAAACAATACACAATCATTAATGTAGCAACCTAGGAACCATATATACATAGTACATAGTCCAATATACATATATAGAATGCAATGAATTTCCTTACATTTTCTTCTTCTTAGATGGAAACCCAGCTTAATATCATCTCCCGAGTCATATCTTGGATATTGCCGACCTTTTTTTTAAAATTTAATTCTCACTTTTAAAGTTTTTTCTTTTTACATTAAAAAAAAGTTATTATCAATACCATTTTTTAAAAAAATTTATGTTTTTGTTCATAGGTTGGAAGGTAAGGTTGCACTCATCACAGGTGGTGCTAGTGGAATCGGAGAATATGCTGTAAAACTTTTTACTAAACATGGTGCCAAAGTCATGATTGCTGATATCCAAGATGAATTGGGCCAAACTGTATGCAAGAACTTGGGCTTATCTGCATCATCCTACATCCATTGCAATGTCACTAATGAAACCCATGTCCAAAACGCAGTTGACTCAACGATGGCCCAATATGGAAAACTCGACATCATGTTCAACAACGCGGGTATAGTGGGCTTTCCCAAGCCCAACATCCTTCACAATACGCAATCCGAATTTGAAGAAACTGTTAGGGTGAATCTAATTGGGCCATTTTTGGGTACTAAACATGCGGCCCGAGTCATGATCCCGGCCCAATAAGGTAGTATCATTACAACAGCTAGTACTTGCTCTACCATTGGAGGTGTAGCCTCCCATGCCTACACTAGCTCCAAGCATGGTGTGGTAGGGCTCACACGGAACACGATCGTTGAACTCGAAAAATATGGGATTAGGGTGAACTGTGTGTCACCTCATGCGGTTTCTACTCCTTTGGCTAAACGCCTTTTTAGTCTAGATGATGAAGCTATAGCAAACATATACTCTAATCTCAAAGGTGCTTGGTGTAAAGTGGAGGATGTTGGAAATGCGGCTTTATTTCTTGCTATTGATGATTCAAAGTTTATAAGTGGACACAATCTTATTGTTGATGGGGGATTTACCATTGTGAATCCTGGGTTTTGTATGTTTGAACAACTATAATAATAATAATGTAGTCATTGTCAATTAGGAAAAAAAAAAAGGAAAATTTTCCTTGAATTATCATTGTATTGAAATGTCGTCCACATTATTGAATTTATTGCAATTTGCAATTGAAATAAGGTATCAACTTTCTAAAAGTTAATTATATTATACTCCGTATTTTCTTATATGACGTGTATATTCTTAAAGTCATTAAGCCTGACTATGGTACTATGTTGAGTATGAAGTTTTTATTCCAAAATTATATAAACTGGTAATAAGAGAAAAGTGTTCTCTTTTTTTCTTTTCAGTAATTGAGAGTCACATTGCCATTCCCTGCTTATTGATTAGGGCAAAGAAATTTGATCGCTACTAGAAAGAAGCAAAGGTGAGGATAGTTAAATTGGAAATAGCCTCCCTTAATCTTATAAAACATTTAACTCTTATCTTTTTATTAATGTGAGACACTCAGATGTATAATTGAAGGAAAATTATGATTCAACATGAACAAATGAAGGAATTATTTAAAATAAATGTGTCCTAATATTATTATAGGTTCACCTCATTTGAGAATCCTTAAATAGTAAATGACATACGTAGTAGAATTTTTTTTTTGAATGGGATAAAGTTGATCAAGAACGCCACCTTTGACTTGTTATGTGGAAGAGAAAAAGCCCAACGACTTGTCACAACTTTACAATTGGGTGTGTTTTTTTTTTTTTTTTGACAAAGAGAACTAACAAAAAATTAAAAAGTGAAATGAAGTAAAATTCTACGCCTAGCTGCACCAGCAAGAGAGTGAGCCTCAGCAACCGATGTCCTAGAAACCTTCTGAACATGACACGTTGAGAAGGAGGAGATAACATCCCGGATTTCCTGAATTGTCCACATTACCGAAATATCAGCAGTTCTAAAATCCTGGATCAACCGAGGAATAGACATGCAGTCTGTGAACAGGTAAATGCTCGAGAAACCCCGATGTCGAGCATGCTTAAGACCGAAAAGACAAGCCTGCAGTTCAGAATGAAGAGCAGAACTAGCCATACAGGCCCGAGCTCCACCCCTAATGCAGTGGGAAAAAGAGGGATCCAAGAAACACCAACCCGCACCTGCATTATGATTCTGTCGATCCCAGGCACCATCAAAGAGCATAGAAACTTCACATAACATGTTAGGACCACCTCGTAACACCAGTCTCTCAGAGGGAGCAGAAAACCCAGGGGGAACACTAGTAGAACAGCTAGAAAACTCACGAGCCTTACCACTTCTAGTGGACCATTCCCAAGCAAGATCCAAGACAAAATGAGGGGAATAAACCGCCGATCGAAACCGAACATTATTCCTAGTAAGCCAAATGGCCCAGCAAATCCCAAAAAAACAATCCAAAGCAAGCCAATGCTTAGCCTTCGCAAAGCTGGAAATAATGCCAGAGAACCAAGCAGAAAAAGGAAAAGAAGTATCAGGCTTAGGGAGCGACCCCCAGTCCATGGAATCCCATAAACTACTAGAGAAAGGACAATCCCGAAATAGATGTCCCACGGACTCCGAAGAGACATGACAAAACACACATGTGGTATCAATCGGAATGCCCTTAAGAGCAAGAACCTCTGCTGTCGGAAGAGCATTATGTAAGACCTTCCAAGCTAGCAATTTCCACTTTGGAAGAATAGACAGACCCCATAAACGTTTCCACCATGAAGAATCAGTAGAAGTACTCTGAAGGGAAAATTGCTGAGACAGGAGGGTTGTATAAGCAGATTTGGTCGAGAACGACCCATCCCGAGTATATTTCCAGTACACAAAATCATCAATCTTCTGTATTGGGCGTTCAAAATCATCAATCTTCTGTATTGGGTGTGTTGATTCAAGAGGCTTGATAAATACGAAGTAGAATTTAGGCGTCTATGATATACCAAGCAACACACTTATATTGCATGCAAACTCTACATCCTTTTTTAATTTTTTTTTTTTTTTTTTTTTTTTGCAAACTTTACAAAATTAGATAACAAATACTTAAAGAACATTATATTATATTATCTTATATCATACATCAAATGACAAGTGTCTCTATCTTTTCCCCTGCTGCTAGAAGGTAACTAAACGTATATATTCTCAGTTTTTTTTTTTTTTTTTTTTTTTTTTTTTTGGTTTTTCAATTTTATTTTTCTGCTTTTGCTTCACATGATTTCCAAGCTCACAGTGTTTGTAGGTTAACGATTTGGTAATGCAGTCAATGTTTTTGCAAATTAGATGTACCATATACTTCAATAGTTCTACAATATAACAAAAGGGAAAATGATAGTGCAAATCAACGAATAAGTACACATTAAATTGATGTGGCTCTCTAATCTTAACATCGATACAAGTTAGACTACGCTTATATTGATATTGAGGGAAATTAAAACATAATGTGAAGTGCAAAATAAGGCAAGTTTTAGAGTTAGAGATTTTATATAAAATTCCCCAAAAAAAGTTTTTTTTTTATTTTTTTTAAAAAAAAAAGAAAAAAGAAGAAGAAGATAAATCCTGAAAAGACAAACTGATTTATTCGTATACCATAGGCAAGTACTGAAGATTTATGAAATTGTTTTTAGGTTGGAAGGCAAGGTTGCCCTTATCACAGGAGGTGCTAATGGAATTGGTGAATATACAGCTAAATTTTTCATTCAAAATGGTGCAAAAGTAATGATTGCTGATATCCAAGATGATTTGGGCCAAGAAGTTTGCAAGGATCTAGGCGCATCAGTAGCCTCATATATCCATTGCAATGTCACTAATGAAGCCCATATAAAAAACGCAGTTGACTCAACAATGGCCCAATACGGAAAACTCGACATCATGTTCAATAATGCTAGCATAGTTAGCCATCCCAAGCCCACTATCCTTGACAACACATTATCGGTGTAAATTTTACCCTACACCCTAATGTAGGGTGTGTTCCCTACACCCCCCCCCATGCTACATCGTTTTGTAGCTGGTATTGAGTTCTCATGTGCAGCTTCTTTCCTTTTGCGATTCTTTCCTTTTTTTCTTTTTTTTTTTTTTTTTTTTTCCTTTTTTTCTTTTTTTTCTTTTCTTCTTCTTTTTTCCTTTTTTCTTTGTTTCTTATTATTCAAGTTATGTATATATATGATTTTAAACCCTATTTTTTCTCTCTCTTCAATTGATCAACCTCCATTTTTTATCTACATTTTTCTCTCGCTAATTCATCTTCTTCATTTGATTTTTTGAACGAACTCGTTAATTGTTACCGATCATCAATGGCGAATTCTGCATCTGGAGATTGCGTTGATTTTGATCGTGATTGCGAGCGTGTGTTTCCTTCTGGAGTTCGTTTGGTTGATTCGTTTGTGAAACAATGTGAGTAATTGTGATCATAATTTTGCAATTTTTAATTATCTCTAAATTTGTTCTGTTATAATGCTCTGTTAATTTGAACTTAATTGATGTATTATTATTCACTTTCGATTTTTGAATTTACTACTTTGATTACATTATGATGAACGTTTTTGGATTGTTATACTTTGTATGAACATTTTGTTGCTTCATTTGTTGTTTCATTTGTTGTTTTCTTTGTGTTTTAGAATTGTGTGTTTTTGTCGTATATTTTGTAGATTATACTTTCAATTAATCGTTTATGTTTTCTTATTCATACTTACTAATGTGTTTATGTTCAGTCTTAAAGTCATTTTTGATCATTTATTTTTACATTTTTATATCGATATTATGTGTAGTGGTAAATAATGAAAATATTGTTCAAAATATTATGTGCTGAAATTCTTTGGCAATTGATCATGTGCTGTTTTGATATTGAACATTTTACTTATTTGTTATTGTTCATTCATGAAACTCTTTATGATCATTTATAATTGTATATTGTGCAGTGGAAAAAAATGATGATATTATGTATTTAGAAGCAGAACAGTCTGAATTAAAGGATAAAGAATTTAAATCTGAAGATGAAGCTTTCGAAGCGTATAATGAATATGCTTTTAGGAAAGGTTTTGGAATTCGAATTGGGAAGAGTAAGAGAAGAAGAGATGATTCTTTTTTGATGAAAAGATTTGTTTGTTGTAATGAGGGATTCAAAGATAATAAGTGTAAGAATAAAAGGATTTATGAGAAGTTGGATCATCGAACTGGTTGTTTAGCTTTTGTGCAGTTTCATATTGATCATTTAGGGGTCTATACATGTACAAGACATGAAATGGTTCATAATCATGCTATGATTCCTCCTGAAAAAAGGCATTTGATAAGGTCTCAAAGAGATGTGAATAAAGAGCAGCTTCTTTTCATTTCAACAATGAAATTGAGTGGAGTCAAAGTTACTGATTCTTTGAGGGTTCTAAAGAAGGAGGTTGGGGGATCTCCTAATCTTTGTTTTACTGCTTCTGATGCTTATAATGCATTGTCATCTGAAAAAGCTGCCCAAATTAAAGGATGTGATAGTAACCAATTAATTAAATATTTTGCCAAGAGACATGTGGATGAGGCAGATTTTTATTATGATTTTGAACAAGATGATAGTGGTGCTTTAGTTAGTTTTTTTTGGCGTGATGGTAGGATGATGAGAGATTATCATTACTTTGGAGATTTGTTGGTTTTTGATACAACTTATAGAACTAATAAATATGGAATGATATGTGCTCCATTTGTTGGGATGAACCATCATGGTAACAATGTCATGTTTGGTATGGGTTTTATTCTTAATGAGCGCACCGAGTCTTTTGATTGGTTGTTTGATACATTTTTGCACTCAATGGGGAGGAAAAGTCCCATTACAATTATGACTGATCAAGCACAAGCGATTGCAGCGGGTATAAGAAACATTTTTCCTTCAACTGTTCATCATCGTTTATGTGTATGGCATCTTGAACAAAATTCTAAGAAACACATTGGAGCATTGAGAGCTTTGGAAGGCTTTACAGATTTGTTTGGATATCTTTTGAAGTATTGTGAAACTCCTGCTGAATTTGAATATTTCTGGAAAAGGTAAATTATTGTTTTTTGTATTTATTTTTTATTTTTATTATGTGATATATTTGATTATTATGTGATATATATATGAACATTTAGTGTTTTACATATGATCATACAATTTACTTTGTTATGTATGTTATCATAATATTATTAGTGTCCATATTGTTTATGATCATTATTCTTTATACAAATGTACATATTTTAATTTATATTTTGTTCATTTTTCAATTAATATATGATCATTTCTGTTATACAGGATGTGTGATAAATACAAATGTGAAAATGATGATTGGTTATGTGATTTGTATAAAATAAAGGAAATGTGGTGTCCTGCTTATTCTAAGAAGTATTGGTCTGGTGGTATATTGTCTTCTCAACGTAGTGAAACTACTAATAAGTCAGTTTCACAACGTCTTAATAAGACTCAAGGTTTATGTGATTTTTATCATGTTTTTTTTGATGTCATTTCTGAGTGGAGAAGTAAGGAAGGTGCAAGAGATTACAATATTCTGAGGGGTAATAGGCACCTAGATTTTGCTAATATTGGTATATTAGTTCATGCAAGATCATTGTACACTATTCAAGCTTATGTGCTTTTTGAAGAGGAGTTCATTAGGGGGACAGCTTATGATCATGTTGATAATGGTTTGCATTTTCCAGAATATTCATATCTTCTTTGGAGGCCTGGGAAGGATATAATTATGCATGAAGTTGTTTTTAATAAGGAAACACATGCAATTTGTTGCACATGCATGTACTTTAGTGAGACTGGTTTACTTTGTTCTCATTCTCTTCGAGTATATCATTTGCATTGTGTGCGTAATATTCCACAAGAGTATATAATGAAACGATGGACAAAGGCTGCCATGTGTAGTCATGGTATTGAAGAACCTACTTTGAGGACAAATGTTGTGGCTACTAGTGTTTGGAGGTCACAAACAATCAGAAAGTTTGTTAAGTTGATAACAAGTTGTCAGAATTCTTTGAATGCAAGGGCAGAGGTTGAGTGTTATTTCAATCTGTTAAAAGAAAAGGTTGAGAGTGTATCAGGTGTAATTGACTTTAGTGAACCTGTTAAAGAGGTTGAAATTGTTGATCTTGAGATCAAGAATCCTCCAAAAGCTAGGCCTAAAGGTGAGAGGAATGTAAGGCCTAAGAGTACCTTGGAGAAGCAGTGTAACAAGGCAAAGGGTAATTTCAAGAGGAAAAAGTCTCTGTACACTCCTTACAAAAGGGGTATAGGGCAAGCAGTTGTACAGGTATATGATCATTTCATATTTTCAAATTGATCATTTCAAGCATTATTGGATTTTTGTATTGGTATTTAAGCTAAGGATAACGATCATTTTATCAAAAAAAAAGTCATTTTTTTTTTAAAAAAAAAAAGTCATTTTTTTTTTAAAAAAAACCACTAATGCTTAATAATTTAATAAATAATACTCCCTCCGTTTTATAACGTTAGTCCCATATACTATTTTGGGCGTTTCAAAAAGTTCTACTCATATTGAATATATTTCATTTATGATTTGATTTTTTTTGGAATTAATTTATTGTGGATTGATGAAATGACTCTAATTAAGGAAATTTTTACCTTAAATTATGCAATTATGACTTGTGCTTTCCTAATAAAAAATAAAAAAAAGTTAATTAAGGTAAACTAATTATGAAATATGTTGTACTTTAATGTTAGATTCCAAATATATTTATTTTCTTATTTTATGTGATTGATTCCATATGGGACTAACATTATGAATCGGAGGGAGTACATTTATTTAATATTTTTCTAATTACATATATTTAAATAAATAATTATGTTTTGTGTAAAGAAAAATGTATAAATGTATATATTTATTTACTATTTTCTCTAAATGTACGCAATTGGAACTTCCAAAACTAGAATAGACTTGTGACCACAATAATTAATGGCCATCCAACTATCCAAGTCTTATACTGTTATAAACATACAAACCATGCATTTTTCGTTTTATCACTTTGTGAACTATGCCAAACATCTACAGACTACAGTTTTCAGGGTGTTTTTCTTGTTTTCTGTGTTTTTGTACTAATGAACTATGGCAACTACTCTTAATAATACTAAAATAGCCCAACATGGACGATAAGCTTTATGAATGAATCTCTGGATACAATACTACATACAAGAGACTTTATAAATAGGTTGTCTTAGACAATAAACAATTATAGTAACTCTTAAGATTTAAGAAAACAACTACTAGCATTTAGGAGCAAGGAAGTACTATTTATACTAGTAAATTAAATGGCAGGCATCTCAGCTTTTTCTGCTGTGGCCAAAAGGTAATTAAACATGTATATTATCAGCTTATCTATATTTTTTTTTTCTTTCTCTAATAGTATTTTTTTAGTTGTCAATAATAACTTATAAAGATTAAATGATCCAGTCGAGATTTGATCTCAAATTGTAAAAACCATTCATCTTTCAAGCTATTTGTGAATCATAGTGATGCTTTGTAGGTCCACTATTTGTAAATCCAAAAAGGAAATGATTTTTACTCTTCTAAAGTACTTACATTTAGAAACTTTTTTATACCAAGTTTATCAGTGATCTTTCTTGAGTACAATATTTTAAAATGGTTTATTTTCAGGTTGGAAGGCAAGGTTGCCCTAATCACAGGAGCTGCTAGTGGAATTGGTGAATACACTGCCAAAATTTTCACACAAAATGGTGCAAAAGTCATGATTGCTGACATCCAAGATGATTCGGGCCAAGAAATTTGCAAAGAATTGGGCCCATTAGTAGCCTCATACATTCATTGCAATGTCACAAATGAAGCCCACGTAAAAAACGCAGTTGATTCAACAGTGGCCCAATACGGAAAACTCGACATCATGTTCAATAATGCTGGCATAGCAGCTTGCTATCCCAAGCCCATCCTTGATAACACACAGTCAGAGTTTGAAGATGTCATTAAGGTTAATCTTGTTGGGCCATTTTTGGGTATAAAGCATGCGGCCCGAGTAATGATCCCGGCCCAAAAAGGTAGTATTATAACAAGAGCTAGTACTTGCTCCACCATAGGAGGAGCGGCCAAGCATGGCGTGGTGGGGCTCACAAGAAACACGTCGGTAGAGCTTGGAAAGTATGGGATTAGGGTGAATTGTGTCTCGCCACATGCAGTTGCGACTTCTATGACTAAGACTATCTTAAATCTAGATGATGATAATATAGCTAAGGTATACTCTAATCTTAAGGGTACTTGTTGTAAAAAGGAGGATATTGCGAATGCGGCTTTATTTCTTGCTAGTGATGAATCAAAATATGTTAGTGGTCATAATCTTTTTGTAGATGGAGGATTTACTATTATGAATTCAGGATTTTGTATGTTTGAATAATCAAGTAATGATTGTTATGGACTTATGGCTGATAATAATAATAAAGATGCTTCATTTGATAATAATAATGTGTAATATTAACAAAAACTAACTCAGCCAACCCACCTCCTTCCCTGACCACCCAACTAACACACCTAAACCACCTCCTTCCCCGACCACCCAACCCATCTATACCAGTAAACCACCTCCTTCCCCTACCAAAATGACACCCCATCCCCAGATCCACCGTCAAAATCGGCAAAACCCCAAACCCTTCCCCTTGAAACAACTCTCATCTGCTCGCGACATAGCTGCTTCCGTCAACACTCGAAGGTGGAAGCTAGATGGGAAGGTGATCCAGATCCGCCGAGAAAGAAACAAGAAACAAGTGGAGAAGAACGTTAATGGTGTGAGACCCAATCTGCGAGAACGAAGGCGGGCAACATGGTGGACTGGTGGTTGCGGGCTTGCGGCGGAGAAGAGATGGTTAGGGTATGGTGGAACGAGGATGAGGTTAACTATGGTGGCCTGGTGGTTGCGCGCTTGCGGTGGAGGAGAGACAGTACAGTGGTTGCGTGCTCGCAGCGGAGAAAAGGGGATGGGGGATGGTTTCCCGGTGAGGCTAAGAAGGAGGGGACGGGGCTAGTGGCCGGATCTGGTAATGAAGGCTGCGGGTTTTTTCTTTTATTTTTTATTTTTTTTGGACAAATGCAAGAGTGACACGTGGCATTTTAATTTTTTAAAAAGCTTTTCAGCAGATAATTGGTTTTTAGGATTAATAGAAGTAAATGGAGGTGAAAGTTGAGATTATTGCAGAATAATTGATAGTTGGGATTATTCAAAGTAAATTATTGGTCAAAATTGAGATTAATGAAGTGTATTTTTCCATTTTGTTATTGCACATGCATAACAGCATAATTATTGAGATTACATAAAAAAAATCTGCAAAATATTAGAAACTACTTCCCAAGTGGTATCCTCCTCATAAAGCAGTTCCTTGAATTTATCCTTGACTTCTTCCATTAGTTGATCCTTGCCTCCTTCCATTAGTTGATCCTTGACTCTTTTTATCAATGCTCTCTTGGATATTTTGGGGTAAGGAACATCGTCGTCGTCGTCTTCGGTCATATTGTCTTTGCGGGCAGATGCTTGGAGTATCATACTACTACTACCAACTGGGACAGCCGCCGCACACTCCTTGTGCAAGTCAAAGTTGCACTCCTTGCAACAATACCTTAACCCTTCGTCTTTCTTTAGGCATGCATTGCACCAATAAGTATAATACCTATAATAATCATTTACATGTATGATTTCATAAGTTATCTAGAAGCTTATTACATCACAATCAGTATAATTAATTATAATGAAAAATATAAGTTTAGATCAGATAAGCAAAAATAAGATGAATCACACATAGCTTTTAAAAAAAAATCTAACCCGATTTTGCCACCTAAGGAGGAGTATTCCAATTGATGTTGTGGATGAAGTGAGTGCCTTATTACAGTTTGGAGAGAAGAGTCGACGGCTGCTGTAGGATTACCGGTACCACATATCATATTGTCGTTTGTTATCGTACAACTACCAACTTGGAGAGCACACTCCTTGTGCAAATCAAAGTTGCATTCTGTGCAACTATACATGAAGGCTTCCGCCTTCTTATTGCATGCATCACACCGAAAAATAACACCACACCTATAAGCATTATTCAAATGATCTTTTACTGAATTAGCTAATTTAGCAAAACTATTTACCAAAACAACTATTTATAAATTCATATTCTAAAAGTAAAATATCGACCTTGGAAGGATTTTTTCCCCTATTTTATTTACATGTAAACGGCTGGTTTTTTAAAAATAAATTATTGGCTTTCATTTTTAATTTGAATTCATAATTTAATTATAGCCGCACAATACTACCATTCCCATTATACATTTTTATCTAATTTTCGTACTATGGAATTATTTTGTTTTGTTTTGTTTATATGATTGAATGGTTGTAAGTTTATTTTCATGTTATCCTAGTTTTAAGAATTATTCTATCCAAGTAACTGAAATTATACGACGATTACATAATCATAAATTTTCTTTGGATCATTCTCATGTTGTAGGTCTATGATTTTTTTTATTTTTTTTTTTTGTATTTTTTTTTTATTTTATTACTATCTTAAATTGAGCATAATACAGTAGTTAGAAACTCTGAATTCATCTCTGAATTGATTTTTTTTTTTAATTGATGCTAAATTTTTTGCATATATATTAATGTAATTTTTTCTAGTAACTTTCACAAGATTTAAATAATTAAAAGTTTGGAACAGGGGTGCTTTATATCTGATTGTATTTCGTTTCATTTTTAGAGTATGAATAATTAGAAAAGGCTATTATGGTCTTGTTTGGCAAATGATTGTTGGCGGTTGGTTGTTGGATGGTTCACCTAGCTGGAATGTTTGGCTGTTTATAATGGCTTTTGAAATTGGCTGTTTAAGCTGGCTGTTTATAAAATTGTTTGGTAATTTAATTGTTGGTCGTTGGCTGTTTATTAGATAATTTGTGGGCCGACAAGCTAAAAGCCAACAAAAAAGCTTCTCAAAGCAGCTTTTTCATTTTGGCTTAAAAGTCAGCTTTTTCACTGACTAAAAAGCCAATTACCAAACACATTTTTTTGGCTGTTTGACCACCTAAAAAAGCCAAAAAAGCCAATTACCAAACATGGCCTATATCTTTTTTCACAAAAATATATATATATATATATATATATATATATATATATATATATATATATATATATATATATATATATATATATATATCAAAATCTGGCAAAAACCAAATCAACCTAAAAAAAAAAAAACAAAATAATAATAATAATGTAAACCAAAGCGTTACATATAGAAGGGAAAAAAAAAGAAGAATTTCCCCTCCAAGTTATAATTTTGTTAATAATATAGATAGTTTTGAAATTGAATTAATAAATAGCCATTTTGGTAAAAAGTTTTGCTAAATTAGCTAATTCGGTATAAAGCTTATTCAAAAGTTATTTTAAAAGCTTATTACTCATAATTCATAAAATAGGAAAACACACAATAATATAATGCAATGTCGTAAATCTAACCTGACATCAACAATGGTGTTGAATATCAATTGATGTTGTGGATGAAGTGAGTGCTTCAATCGATGCTGTGGATGAAGTGGTTGCCTAGATTGCCTTATTATAGCTGAAATAATTAGATCCCCCATGTTTTTGATGTGTAATTTAATTTAATTAAATATGATTAGTAGTACGCGTAGTAGTTAATACAAATGTATTCTATGTTTTGTGTCTGTGTTTTTTTTTTATATATATATAGGAGCTAGTAGGGCTTCCAAAACCTACCACTCTCCCTATAAGGGTATAATCGTAATTTTGTATTGAAAAAACAAAGCACTTGGGAGGAAAAGAAAATGTAAGAGCAGTGGGCAGTAGTCAACATTAAAGACAAAATACTATTAAAAAAAAAAACATTAAAGACAAAATAAAGAAGCAAGAAAGAAAGAGAGTAGAAATGTAGAATGAAAGAAAGATATGAATAATTTTGTATTGAAAAAACAAAGCACTTGGGAGGAAAAGAAAATGTAAGAGCAGTGGGCAGTAGTCAACATTAAAGACAAAATACTATTAAAAAAAAAAAAAACATTAAAGACAAAATAAAGAAGCAAGAAAGAAAGAGAGTAGAAATGTAGAATGAAAGAAAGATATGAATATATGATTGGGAAATATGGCAGAAAAAAAATCCCTTGACTAGGTCTCACACCTAAGAATGGAAGAAAGTAAACCCTTGACTGGTTTTATTATTCTACTTCCTCCGTTCTTTTTTACTTGACCTGTTTCTTTTATCACGCTTGTCAATGTAAAATTTTAGCGATCAATAACTTTAATTCTTCATAAATAAAAATTATAAAAGTTGTATATCACGATTGTACTTATTGAGATGAATTAAAAAAATATCATGTGAATATATTTTTCATTACATATCATTCACAAAAGACGGTCAAAGAAGAGGTGGTGAATAGTGTAAAAGTTAAAGCGGGTCAGGTAAAAAAGAACGGAGGAAGGATATCTTAATCATATTATTCATAGTACAATTGGTTAGAATATTAAATGTTAGGTTAGTCCCGAACAATGTATGATTTTTAAGACTAAAATATCTTTCATTTGTAATATAAATACTTGTAATACTAAGCTTGTGATTATTCTCATTATATATATGTATTAATTAAAGGACAAAAATGTAAGGTCCACTATTTGTAAATCCAAAAAGGAAGTGATTTTTACTCTTCTAGAGTACTTACATTTAGAAAAAAAATTTATATACTAAAGTTTATCAGTGATCTTTCTTGAGTACAAAATTTTAAAATGGTTTATTTTCAAATTGGAAGGCAAGGTTGCCCTTAGGAGGTGCTAGTGGAATCGCCGAATCGGTGAACACACTGCCAAAATTTTCACACGAAAATACGAAATGGTGCAAAAGTCATGATTTTTGACATTCAAGATGATTTGGGCCAAGAAGTTTGCAAAGAATTGGGCCCATTAGTAGCCTCATACATTCATTGCAATGTCACAAATGAAGCCCACGTAAAAAACGCAGTTGATTCAATAATGCCCAATACGGAAAACTCGACATCATGTTCAATAATGCTGGCATAGCAGCATGCTATCCTAAGCCCATCCTTGACAACACACAGTTGGAGTTGGAAGATACAAATTCTTACATAGACCCTGGTCCACCTTTCCTATGTGGATCAGACATTAAGCACACTCTTCTCTTAAATAAACACAACTTCACCTTGTTCTTCAAATCCCGCCATCTTAACTTTTTTTTTCCTTCTTTATAAGATCACTCTTCCCTATTTAATCTGATTTTTTAACTTCTTTTTCGATTATAATTTAGATCCACAACATTGTCTAGATCAAAGAAATCACCAACATTATCTCTTCTTTTTCTTTTTTTCTCCGCAATTTCACTCTTCTGAACTTTTTCTCTCTTCTTCTTAACATTTTCTTGCTTCTTCTGAACTTTCTTCTTTTGAGACTCTTTCTTAGCCTTCTTTTGAGCTTCCTTTTTATTTTGATTTTCAGTCTCCTTTTAACTTTCCTTTTTAGCTTGATTCTCAGCCTCCTTTTGAGCTTGATTCTCAGCTTCTTGGATTGGTTTTGGGTGTTGGATTTGGGTTGAAGTTCAGATTGGTTGCTGTAATAAAACAAATGCTTCTTGGATTAAAAAATAACAATATCAAAATTTGAACAGGAATCACAAATTATATGAAATAAAATCATAATACATTTGAACAGTAATAACAAATTATATGAACTAAAACCACAAAATATTTGAACATTGATCACGAGTTATATGAACTAGAACCACAATATATTTGAACAGTAATCACGAATTATATGAACTAAAAACACAAAACATTTGAACTTATAAAATAAATGCTTCTTAGTTTAAAAAATAACAATATCAATTTTTGAACAGTAATCACGAAATATATGAACTAAAACCACAAAATGTTTGAACGATAATCACAGATTATATGTACTAAAACCACAAATCATTTGAACAGCAATTACGAATTATATGAACTAAAAACACGAAATATTTGAGCCTATGATTTACCCGGTTTCTCCATTTTCTGAATGTTGCTTGTCTATCTTTTTTAAAATCTTTGGATCAACAATTGGACTTGTTATATCCAATTTCTTCTTCCTTTTGTTTCAGATTTGAGAAATTGTCCTGTTCAAATAACTCAGGGTTTCAATTTATCATTTAATTTCAAAATTCAACAATTATATAGGGTTTTAATTTACTTACAATTGATCTTCATCACTATCAGAAGAATTTGGGTCCCTGAAAAATGTGAAAATTGTTCAAAAATTATACCCAAATTTACAAAAACTACGAATGAAATTTTAACAAATTATAACAACTACGAACGAGTAATTGCAAATTCAAAGAAATTTAAACAAAGTGTAAGTTCAGAAATTTTATTTACCTTTCTGCATTGTTTTCTTGCTTTTCATCCATGGCTATGCTTGAATTTTCAGAGGAAGAGAGAAATGAGAATTTTTCGTAGTGTTTGTGTTGATGGCTATAAGTTCAGAATTTATTATGTCAGAGTGTTGTTGGAGTGGAAAAAAAGAAAGGAGAGGTTGGGCCGCTTTATTTGTAATGTGTTTGTGATGATGGATTGTGGTATTTGGGCTAGTGGTCCACCTATTTTAGATGGACCAGGGTCTACCATAGACCTATTGGTTTGAAGATGTCATTAAGGTTAATCTTGTTGGGCCATTTTTGGGTATAAAGCATGTGGCCTGAGTAATGATCCCGGCCCAAAAAGGTAGTATTATTACAACAGCTAGTACTTGCTCCACCATAGGAGGAGCGGCCGCCCATGCCTACACTAGCTCCAAGCATGGCGTGGTGGGGCTCACGAGAAACATGTAGGTAGAACTTGGAAAATATGGGATTAGGGTGAATTGTGTGTCACCACACACCACACGCGGTTGTGACTTCTATGACTAAGACCATCTTAAATCTAGATGATGAAAATATTGCTAAGGTATACTCTAATCTCGAGGGTACTTGGTATAACAAGGAGGATATTGCGAATACGGCTTTATTTCTTGCTATTGATGAATCAAGATATGTTAGTGGTCATAATCTTTTTGTATATGGAGGATTTACTATTATGAATTCCGGATTTTGTATGTTTGAATAAATCAAGTAAAGATTGTTATGGACTTATGGTCTGTAATAAAGATGTTTCATTTGTTTGTTTAAATAATTAAATGAGTAATGTTAATAAAATAGAGAAAATAAAGGTTTTGTTTTATTAGTTAGTGTTATTGTACTTGATATATATATATATAGTATATGTTGGAATTACAAGCATCATCATGCTAATACTATTTATGAACTATGAAGTATATCAAAAGACATTCCTAAATAAGTATGAGTGTCAAGTACATTATACTTTTGTGCGATTTGTTCCTTTTCCTCCGCGTACAATTAAAATCATGCAAGCTTCCTAAAAAATACAAGTAAAATGCAAGAGTATAATGATATTCCCTAAAAAAAAAGAGTATAATGATATTCCCTAAAAAATACAAGTAAAAAAAAGAGTATAATGATATTCCCTAAAAAAAAAGAGTATAATGATATTCCCTAAAAAAAAAGTATAATGATATTCCCTAAAAAAAAAAGAGTATAATGATATTCCCTAAAAAAAAAGTATAATGATATTCCCTAAAAAAAAAAGAGTATAATGATATTCCCTAAAAAAAAAAGTATAATGATATTTCCCTAAAAAAAAAGAGTATAATGATCTCGTTTTTACTGTATAATGATCTCGTTTTTACTGTATTATGATAAAATTATAATTATGATAAAAAAGAGTATAATGATATTCCCTAAAAAAAAGAGTATAATGATCTCGTTTTTACTGTATTATGCAGAAATTATCACGGCTAAAAATTGATTTAAAACATTGGAATTTCCATAATTATGGGAACATTCAAAATAAATTGACTATTAACCAAGAAAAATTACAAAATGTGGAACTACAACTTCAATAATTTCCCGGAAATCATCATATTGAACAACATCTAAAACGTCTAATTAAACAACGTGAAAAACTACTCCTTTTTGGCCAAAAATACTGGGGTAAATATGCTAGAAAAAATTGGTTAACACAAGGTGATCGAAATACAAGATTTTTTCACGAAACAATGAAAATAAGAAAAAGAAAAACTCAAATTTTCAGGCTATGTAATGAACTTGATCAATGGGTTGAGGAGCCAACAGATATTACTCGTTTATTTTTTAAGGAATTTTCAAATAGATTCAACTCAGATCATACATGCTCTCGTAATATTTCCATTCCTTGGATACAACCATGTATTACTAGTGAAGACAATCTAACCTTGACACAACCTTTTTTAGATGAAGAAATCAAACAAGTCTTCTTCGATATGTCTCCATATAAAGCTCCGGGTTCAGATGGTTTTGGGCCTAAATTTTTCCAATATTATTGGTCTATCATTGGAATGGATATTTGTAAAGCAATAAAAGGTTTTTTTCATAATGGTATTTTATTAAGACAACTTAATCATACGATTATTACTCTAATTCCAAAAATCGACAATCCAAATAAGGCACATCAATTTCGCCCTATTAGTCTTTGTACTACAATTTATAAAGCAATAGCTAAACTTCTAGTAAATAGAATTAAACCATTCTTAAAGAAAGTTATAGGACCATATCAAAATGCTTTTACCCCGGAAAGAGCAATCCAAGATAACGTTTTGTTAGTCCAAGAAATCTTAAATATGTTTAATAAGTCCAAAAATAAGTCAGGATGGTTAGCCTTGAAATTAGATATGGAAAAAGCCTATGATCGGGTTGAATGGGATTTCCTATGGGTTACTTTAAAAGCTTTTGGTTTTAATGAAACTTTGATTACATGGATTAAGTCTTGTGTTACTACGGTTTCTTACTCGATTTCTGTAAATAACAACTCTACAGAACTAATCACTCCTACTCGAGGCCTACGTCAGGGGGATCCTTTGTCCCCAGTTCTCTTTGTTATTTGTATGGAAGTTATTGCTCGAAAATTACTTCATCAATCATTAGATAAATCTTCTGGCATTGGTCTCAAAGTTACCCCATCTGCTCCGATCATCCCTTGTTTACTGTTTGCAGACGATAATTTATTATTTTGTCAGGCCAAATCTAGAGTATGTGCTACTCTTAGGGATATCCTTAATGAATTTTCTTTAATGTCCGACCAATTGATCAATTTCCATAAGTCCTCTATCGTCTTTTTAAAGCTAGTAAATAACTCTAGAGAAGTTAATTTAGCAAGTTATTTCAATATGACTCCTAAATCATTCCTTGGTCGTTATTTAGGGGTCCTTTTTAATTCATCGTCTTTTACTAAGCAAAATTTTCATCAGCTTTTAGCAAAAGCAGAAAACAAATTGAATAACTGGTCTGTCAACTCAGTTTCTAAGGCAGGTAAAACTGTTTTAATTCAAAGTCATTTGGAAGCTCTTCCTTCTTATGCTATGACTACTGCGCGTCTTCCTAAAACAATCACTAAATCTTTGGATCAAATTAACCGTAATTTCTTTTGGAAACAATCTCCGGATAAGAATGGCCTCCCCATGATTTCTTGGGACAAAATTTGTCAACCCAAAAGTCAAGGAGGTTTAGGTTTAAGGAAAACGGAAGCAATCAACTCTGCTCTCCTTGCCAAATTAGGTTGGAAATTAATCTCGCATCATAATAATTTATGGGTTCGTAGTATTCGGGCTAAATATTTAAAACATAGCTCTTTTTTTGAATGTAAACCCCACGCTAAGGACTCCTGGATTTGGAGGAAAATTTTACAAGTTCGCCCTCTTCTTCTTAAGGGGCTGAGATGGAAAGTTGGTTTGGGCTCTAATATTCTTTTTTGGCTAGATAATTGGTGTTCTTCTACGAATTTAATTACTTTATTACATTTAAATATTTCTGATATTCAAAATCTTGACCTTACAGTTGATCAATTTATTACTGAAGATCATTCTTGGGATATTGCAGCTCTATCTTTAGTGGTACCTCCTTACATAGTTTAGACCATTAAAGGTATTCCTTTGCCAATTAATGATACTTTTGATGAACCCTGTTGGGGTTTTTCTGGTAATGGAGAGTTTACGGTAAAGTCAGCAACCTGGTTAGCTCATAACTTTAATTCTCTTGCAAAATGGGAATTTTCTTGGATTTGGAAACTTGATATTGCTCCAAAACTAAAGATATTTATTTGGCAACTGCTACTTAATGGTCTTCCAACTAGAAATAATTCGATTTACCGTAATATTAATGTCCCTCATACTTGCCCCTTTTGTAATTCACATGCTGAAACACAGGATCATCTGTTTCTAAATTGTCCATTTATTAGACAGTATTGGGATGCAGATATCGTTAGTCATTGGATGGGAACTCAAGTTAATACCCCGAATCTCCTTACTCTTTTTCGGGACATTCGTCATAATGTTAACCTTCCTGTAAAAAAAATTATTGTTTCTTTATGGAGTATATGGAAAGGTCGTAATGCTCTTATTTTTAGTCATATCCCCTCTACTATTATGAGTATTTATTCTAGAGCTTACAAAACATTTACAGAATGGAATATTCGTTCTCATCTTGATTCTTTTAATGACATTGTTCCCAAGACCAATTCTCCTCTTTACCATAAAACCATCCAAGTAGCTTGGTCCCCCCCTGCCCCTGGTGTTTTCAAAATTAATTTTGATGGTTTTGTTTGTAATAACTTTGGGTCAGCCGGAGTTGTTATTAGAGATTATACAGGAAATAATGTTGTTAGTCGTGCTTATAATCTTGGTACCTCGACTCCTATTATTGCAGAAGATACAGCTCTGCGTAACAGTCTTCTCTTAGCTATTGAACATAATATACGAAAACTTTTTATTGAAGGTGATAACCTTTTAATTATAAATATTTTGCAGGATAAAGCACGCTGTCCTTGGAAAATTCAATTGCTAATGAATGACGTTAAGAAGTTGTTGGCTCACTTTGAGGTTGTTGCTTCTTGCCATGTGTATCGAGAAGCTAATCATGCAGCAGATTATGCTGCAACTATAGGTCATCAAATTTCAGGCTATGTAAACATTGACCCTAATGTAGATGCTAATTTTTCTTATTTTATTTCTTAAGATAAGTTAGGGTATAGTTTTGAGAGAAGACTTACCTAATTTTTGTATTTTTCTTATCAAAAAAAAAAAAAAAAAAAAAAAAAAAAAGTATAATGTTATTAAAAAAATATATATAAAAAAAAATGCACCAGCCGGGAATCGAACCCGGGTCTGTACCGTGGCAGGGTACTATTCTACCACTAGACCACTGGTGCTTGATTGTCCAATTAAATGATTCAGAGTTTTAATTATTAATAAAGTTGCATATATAACACATCTTAGCCATCTATCTCTCTCTCTCTCTCTCTCCTCTATTTAAGCGTACTCTGAATTCTCCATTGAAGCGGCTTCTGAGTTTTCTCTCTCAATTGAAACAGGTAAGATTTTTTTTAAGCATCGAATATCAATTTCACAATCTAGGGTTTAGTTTGTTTTTATTGTAAGTATAGTCGATTTAGGGTTCTGGACTACTCAAGTATTCGTTATAATTACTCAAGATTATAACGACCGATTTTGCTGCTATAAAATTTCAATGTTGATATTCTTGAGCGAGAAGAATTTTTATGCGAATTTTCAAGCCTAATTTTGATGATTGAGTCAAATTTGGTTGCTAATGTGTTTTGTTTATGACCCTTTAATGTTAGGACTAGGGAATTTGAATTTATTTTATTTTATTATCCTTGAATTTCAATTTAAGTTAATTATTCTTGGATTTCAACTTCTAAAGTTATTATTATTTTATTAACATATTTCTATTTAGTAAAGTTTATTATTATTCTAGTAAAATGTTTGATTGATTGAATTTAGTTTTTGTGCGGTGAGAACTAGATTGTAGATGAAACATTGGTCTGGAATTAATTTAAAGTTGAAATTGATTGAATTACAGGATGGAAAGTAGGGTAGAGTTTGAAATTGGTGGTTGCCTTGAGCAAAGACAAATTTCCTCAGACCTTGCGGTATTTGTTTCTCCAAAGGAGGTTCTGTCAAAAAAGAAAGATGTTTCCTCCACTGTTGAATCTTTGCTGACCTGTTTTTCTGATTTGGGTTATCTTGATCGAATTAATGGCGACCAAGTTATTATCAAAGATACGTTTCGTTCCAAATGCGTTCTGGTTTTTGCTTATAAAGCGCCACAAGGAGAATTCAACTTCCGTGAGGTCTTTCCTAAAGACCCGGTGGGTGTATGTTCAGAATAGTATCGCTTCAGAGACGATTTTGAGATGGTTGTGGCCTTAACGGGCAATGATTCAGATCTCGGAGAGGCTGGTTTCAACCAGGCCACTTGCTTCTTTTCTTACCTCATTTCTCTCTTGTTGTACCATATGAGCATTTGAAGATCAGGGCCTCTCTATGCGATTACCTTGGTGTCAATGCTCACGGCTCCTCTAATTGGTTGCTTGTCAATGCTAATCAATACATCTTGCATTACGATTCTAATGCTGCAAGACAGTATCTGCAGGATCTTTTCCCTGTAAGCCCTATAGATTTTGTAACTTTCTTTAACGGGCTTATTAGATCAACATGGCCTGTTGTCAGTTCTGAGGCCAAAGGCCCTAGACTATTGGAAGGAAAGTGTCCGGTTTCAAATTCGATCAAGTATGTGTTGCCAGAATATCCTCATGATATACACAAGATGGTTTCCGAATCACAGAAATCTTGCCCTATTGAGATTGGTCAGTCTTTTGATGTTATATCATTGTTGTCAGGTGGTGGTGTCTTGAGTTACTTGATCGGAAAGATGGTGACCCAGTTGCAGTTAAGGAGGAATCCTTTATCGGAAAATACATCATGATTTGTTGTTTTTATGTGCCTATCTTCCGCGACAGCTCTGATGCAATGACGGTGCAGCACATAGTAAATACATGCTTTGACTTGTATAATACAAGAAATGACTTTGAGATGGTTGTGGTTGTAAAGATGAGGTACAAGGCGGATTATGAGGCAGTTTTTGATCACTTTTTGTCAGTTTTCCCCTCTTGTCTTGTGGTACCATACAAGGAGTCAATGCATCGCGACTTCATATGCAAGTATCTTGACTTGGTTGCTAAGTCATCTATTAAATGTCTCATTTTGGATGCCGATGACAACAGAAACATTTTGTACCATGGAACTCCTGCCTTCCTGTACTCCTATGGAGCTGATGCCTTTCCCTTTACTAAAGAGAAAATTAAGGAAGTAGTTTACAAAGACAAAATATCTCACTGGAGCCTTGAAGGACTTTTGGAGTGCGATTCCTCTTATGTTCTTGAAAATGGCAACGAGGAAACGATCACCATCTCAGAACTTAACAAGAAGGTCGTTGCATTGAACTTGTGTATTGATGGAATGTTCACTTCCACTCTCCATATGGTCCATCAACAATGTATAGAAAATCAGCTATCGTTTGAGATTGTGCTGGTCTACATGCCCTATGACAACTGCCTTGACCCACGGGTTCACAAGGGTAAAATTGATAGATTGTTGAAGAAGAAGAGAATATCGTGGTGGTGCTTGCCCATCAACAACAATGTTAGCTTAAAGTTTAAGAGACTTGTAGGCTGTCGTGATGACTTTAAGCTCGTCATAGTAGGACCTGATAATGAATATGTGGATCTGCACGGTGAAGAAATCCTGAAGAGACGCGGAATTGATGGTTATCCGTTCACTAGGGAGGGCCTTATCGAAAAGGAACTGAAGCGGCTTCATGGACTCACCTTGGAGTCGTCGTTGGTTATTGGGTCAAAGAATTATGTTTATAAAGGCAGCACAACATATCCTCTGGCTGATCTCCTAGGAAAGAATGTCCTTGGTTATTTTGCTGAAAGAAGTAAAGATCTTTATCATCCACTGTTAACATGGTATCCTGAGATTAAGGCAGATGTTGACGATCTTGAAGTAGTCTTTGTTCGGTTAGAAGATGAGCTTGCTGCAGCTTATGATGATCTCAAATTAGCTGAAAGTGTGAAGCCTTGGTATGTATGTCCCTATGATCCCGAGCACTCAAAAATTTTACGGGAGAAAATATTTATCGTCGGGCATAATAGAGTACGTGAAACCTTGGTTAAATTTGGATCAGATGGAAAGATTTGTTCATTTCGAGCTCAATATCACCTTACTTATGATGGACCCAAGGCTTTTCGAGAAATTGGTGATCCTCATCTACGCCAAGATGTCATTAGAGAATATTTAGAGGGGATGCTATAAGTAGAAAGAATATCCCTGGAACACAAATTGTTACGTACTTTTGTATTAATTAGTGGTTAATTTTATTCTAATTAAAACAATGGCAGCAAAAATGCATCAATTCAATTCAGTTTAAAGTAAAGGATTAGTAACTACTTCCTCATTTTTCTGGCTTAGGTAACTTAGTACCATTATTTTCTCTTTTAGCACGATATTAGTTAGTAATGTACTCAGCATTAGACTTCTTTTCGGCAAATTTTAAACTTGACTACATCCTAACCACAAAACACTTACACATGTTTGTTTCGTGTTATTTTAAATAAACTACTCCCTCTGTCCCCTTAATACAAAGTAAGGACGTGAAATCTTGGAATAGTTTACCAAAATTTCCTGTGTCGGTGGGTTCGGCAGGATTCATGAGTTTTAAGTATACCCGCTAAAATTACTTAATTTTTAAAGACTATGTTCGTGGTTTTAGGGTCTGTTCTCATACGATTATTTTCACTTCAGTTCAGTTCAGTTCTAATAAGTTCAGTTCAGTTTAGTTCAGCTCCTAATTTCCTTCTCTTATAAAATATTCATTTCAGTTAAGCTCTAATAAGTGCAATTCAGTTCAGCTAAGTTCAGTAGATAGTTTGAGATATGATACTGGGTGAGTTGGAGAACTATTTGTTGGGGTGTGATTTATTCACATCAACTTTGTTAGACTATGGTTCGTATGTGTTTGAATATCAAATGAAACGAAACGAAAAAAAAATAAAAATATCTTGGCAATGTTAAAAAAAAGGAACAGAAAAAATGGACTCTCCCTACAGGGACTTACTTGATGTGAGCATGGTTTTGCTCATGAAAGGTTAGGTTGAGACTATTAAAAAAAAGACTAGTGAAAGGTTGAATTATTAAATTAAATTAAATTAAAATTATTTGTAATCTATCACATAATTTGAGCTGTCAATTTGGGTAAACAAGTCGGGTAAGAATGGGTCGGGTCAACTCGGTTCGAGTCAATTCAGATTAATTCTATAACCTATGTGCGTCGGGTTTGGGTTGGGTCATGCTTGAGTCTGGTCACGTCGGGTCATACTTCTTATCGGGTTTGGGTCGTGTTTAGGTCGGGTTACATTCGGGTTCGGTGAACAATAGGTCAGGTTTAATTCGGCTTTACACGGGTTAAAACGGGTTAGGGTAATTCTCAGGTTCGAGTCGGGTTCAATTCAAGTCAATAATTTGCGGGTTAGAATCAGGTCGGGTCATTCACGGGTTTGAGTCGGGTTCGGTTCAAGTCAATAATTTGCAGATTATAATCAGGTCGGGTCGTTATTCTCGGGTTCAAGTCGGGTTCGATTCAAGTCAATAATTTACGAGTTATAATCTGGTTGGATCATTTCCATGTCGGGTCATTCTCGGATTCAAGTCGGGTTATGTTCAAGTTAATAATTTACAGGTTACAATTAGGTCGGGTCATTTCCAAGTCAGGTCATATTCGGGTTCAACTAACTATAAATAGATAATTATCATTTTTATCAAGCTAATTATTTCCTTTGACTATAATATATATGGAAATATATATAATGGGAAAGTAGACTCTATAATTTAGAAATAATTATCTCCTTTGACCATATAACAAATATATACTATATTTAACTCTTAAATTTGAGGATGATGCTCCTTTAATTTTTTGCTGGCCTGGCCTGGACCGACTTGGTCTCCCAAGACAAAATGATTTGATCAACAATAATAAGGTGGTCTAAATTGCATTTAAGGTGATTTGAAATCGGGTCAGGAACAATTTGGGTTGAATTTAGGTCAGGTCAATAACAAGTCGTGTTAATTTCGAGTCAGGTTAGTAACAGATCGGGTTGAATTTTTGAATGGGGTAAGTAATGGGTATGGTAAAATTTGTGTCGGGCCAATAACAAGTCGGGTTGAATTTGGGTCAGGTCAATAACAAGTCGGGTTGAATTTGGGTCGGGTTTGTAACAGGTTAGGTTAAATTTGGGTCGGGTTAGGAACGGATCGGGTTGAATTCAGGTCAGGTTCATAACAAGTCGGGTTAAATTCGGGTTTTGACGGATTAAAACGGGTTTTGGGTTAATTTCATTTCAAGTCGGGTTCGGTGCAAGTTAATTAAATTGGCCATTGTAAACCGGTAAATAAATCGGTGCAAGTTGTAAACTGGTAAATTTGCCGTTTAAAAGCAAATTGAATGGTTCCACGCACCCAATTGGACTCTCGGAGGGTGTTCGGGACCATGGTAAACATTTTGGAAATTTTTATTTTTGGGCAAAAAAAAGTCAAAAAATTCCAAAATTAAAGGCTAATATAATATCCACACTTTTTGAGAAATTTTGGAGGTTTCGGAGCCTGGTGTCGAAAAGTCTTGAAATTCTATGAGATACATCTCAGGATCATATAATGCCGTTTGGAACCATAAATGATCATTATTTGTTGTAATAAATGTTCGTGGTATGCTTGAATTAATGAAATCGGTACAAGTTGTAAACCGGTAATTTTGTCGTTTAAAGGCAAAATTGGATGGTTTCGCCCACCTAATTGGACTCCCTGAGGGTACTAGGAACCACGGAAAACATTTCGGCAATTTTTATTTTTGGGCGAAAAAAATCAAAAAAATTCAAATTTGAAGGCATATATCCACACTTTTTGAGAAATTTTTGAGGTTTCGGAGCCCGGTGTAGAAAAGTATTAATATTTTAGGGGATACATCTCGGGGTCATATAATGTCGTTTGGAACCATATATGATCATTATATGTTGTCATAAATGTTCGTAGTAGGCTTGAGTTAAATTAATGAAATCTGTGCAAGTTGTAAACCGGTAATTAAATTGGCCGTTTAAAGGCAAATTGGATGGTTCCACCAACCCAATTGGACTCCCGGAGGTTATTAAGGACCATGAAAAACATTTCGGCAATTTTTATTTTCGAGCGAAAAAAAAAGTCAAAAAATTCCAAAATTGAAGACTAATATCCACGCTTTTTGAGAAATTTTGGAGGTTTCGAAGCCCGGTGTCGAAAAGTCTTGAAATTTTAGGGGATACGTCTCGGGGTCATAACATGCTGTTTGGAACCATATATGATCATCATTTGTTGTCATATATGTTCGTGGTAAGCTTGAGTTAATGAAACCGGTGTAAGTTGTAAACCGGTAAATTGGTCGTTTAAAGGCAAATTGGATGGTTCCACCTACCCAATGGGACTCCCGGACGGTATTAGGGGTCATGGTAAAAATTTCGGCAATTTTTATTTACGGGCGAAAAAAAAGTCAAAAATTTCAAATTTGAAGGTTAATATCCTCGCTTTTTTTTGAGAAATTTTGGAGGATTCGGGGCCTAGTGTTGAAAAATCATGAAATTCTAGAGAATACATCTCGGGGCCATTTAATGTCGTTTGGAACCATATATGATCATTATTTGTTGTCATAAATGTTTGTGGTAGGCTTGAATTAATGAAATCGGTGTAAGTTATAAATCGATAAATAGGTCGTTTAAAGGCAAATTGGATGGTTCCACCCACCCAATTGGACTCTCGAAGGGTATTAGGAACCATGGTAAACATTTCGGCAATTATTATTTCCATGCGAAAAAAGTCTAAAAATTCCAATATTAAAGGCTAATATCCCTACGCTTTTTATGAAATTTTGTAGTTTCGGGGCTCGGTATCGAAAAGTCTTGAGATTCTAGGGATTACATCTCGGGGTCATATAATGTCGTTTGGAACCATATATATATGACCACTATTTGTTGTCATAAATGTTCGTTGTAGGCTTGAGTTAATGAAATCGATGCAAGTTGTAAACCGGTAAATTGGCCGTTTAAAGGCAAATTGGATGGTTCCACCCACCCAATTGGACTACCCAGGGTATTAGCGACCATGGTAAAAATTTCAGCAATTTTTATTTCCGGGCGAAATAAAGTCAAAAAAATCCAAAATTAAAAGCTTATATCCATGTTTTTTGAGAAAATTTTGAGGTTGGGTACGGTGTCGAAAAACCTTGAGATTTTAGGGAATACATCTTGGGGTCATGTAATGCCGTTTGGAACCATATATAATCATTATACGTTTTTATAAATGTTCGTTGTAGGCTTGAGTTAATGAAATCGGTGCAAGTTGTAAATTGGTAAATTGGTCATTTAAAGGCAAATTGGATGGTTCCACCCACCCAATTGGACTCCCGGAGCGTATTAGTGACCATGGTAAACATTTCGGCAATTTTTATTTCCAGAAGAAAAAAAGTTAAAAAAAAAAATCCAAAATTGAAGTCTAATATTCACACTTTTTGAGAATTTTAGAGGTTTCATGGTCCGGTGACGAAAAGTCTTGAAATTTTAGGGAATTCATTTTGGGGTCATATAATACCGTTTGGAACCATATATGATCATTATTTGTTGTCATAAATATACGTGGTAGGCTTGAGTTATTGAAGCTACAGAGAGAAAGTAGAGAGAAGTTGGAGCTGTTTTGATGCTCTATTAAATGTTATGTTAATCCACCCCTCCCATCATAAATAATTGTGGATTTGTGGTATTTATAGGGGTGGGAGTTTGTGCCCTTTAAGGTTTGTGCTCTAAATTTCCGTGTCCTGATTGGCTGCGCAATCAGGTACTGACACGTGTTAAATGGGGGAGGGGGGCGTTTTGCGGCTATCTACAGGAATCTCGGGATTTGAGCTCTGATGTATAAAAAGGCCCTTTTTCTCTAATTTCAGGTGCTCTTTATGAGCTTATTACATGTGTCATCTACCCATTGGGACACGTATCACCATTTGATTGGGCCACGTGTCACTATAGGATTGGACCACGTATAAAGGGTATTTTTTTACTCTAAACACATATCCCTCTAAATTCCTTTCCCAAGTTACCAGCTCTACTAGGAAATAGAAATATGGGAATTGAGTTATTGAGTGGGAGTTTCTTTCTTATTACCTTTCCCATCCTCTTAGGGGACGTTTGGTTCATATAGCGGTATGGGGTTGGAATCAGAAATGAATTCATGATGATATGGTTGTTTGGAACTTGATACCAAATACTATGTGCTTGGTTCAATTTTAAAATGAATTAGATTAACTCCCGTGTCATGCACAATTTTTAAAAAATTTTATAACGAATTATAATGTTAATTCAAAATCTACCAAAAAAAT